CTCGACTTTCAAGATCTACATAACTACATGTGCCGATGTTTCCGTTTATCAACGTTATATTTTAATATCTGTACAAGAACTTAGCTAACAGATGTTTCCGCATATAAAAGCTATCTTCAAGAAATGTGATAATAAAACTTTCCTTACTGTTGAGCAATGTATCTATATAAGCATTTACGTCTTTTAATGAGAGATTTATTCGCTCCTATTATCACGCATCTGAATCTAATGGTTACACATTATATCAACCAACATCCTCTTTGGATTCAGAAGACAATCTTCTGAAATAAAAATATAAAATTTGAATTAGCTTGAAAAAGTTGTTGGTTATTAATCTCATTACAAGTTACAAAGAAACAAATCTGAATATTTTCGTCTTTAAAATACTTAATATTTCAGAAATAGAATAAATAACGAAAAATAAGTACAAACAAACATGATATATACATTTGCTAAATCATGCTTCGTGAAATGTTACTGAAATTCAGGTTTTTGTTCAAAGAGCCATCACATACATACCTGACCGTGCTTATATTTTTTCTCTGTAGAATAAACCTGCTTTAATGACAATTGAAAGAGCTCGACATATATAAAGAAATATTTTATACAAGTCATGTCCTCTTAAGAAAACATTTATAAGGATAGATGGATAAAAAAATTGTTAGAAGTATTTTGAAAATCGAATTATAGTAATAATTAGAAAAATACGGACGTTTCATATATTTATAGCATCAGTGTGAGCTTAATAAATAAAAAGACGAATTTTAAGCACATTGTTTTTCACGGTTTTATCCTAATACCGAATGACGTAAACTTGAAGCAATAGAAGTAAACCAGAAAAATCAATATTACTCACGTGACTTCACTTAGGTATGGAGGGAGACTGTTAGAGAAGAAGAAGTGAGGGTTTGTTGACATTATCCACCAAAATCAGGTCGTCTATTGGGACTGCTTCCATTGCTCTCCCTGGAAATTATTAAAGGAACACTAATTCTGCCCGAAAAAGCCTTTTATTATTGTTAAACAACAGTTGGCTAGGGAAAGCTTGTGCAATATAATTGTCAGAAGCTTTTGTGCACGCGATCAAGCGCGTGCTTCGAAACACGAGTAATACGGTTACAGAAGCTCCTTCAAATCTTAATAAGTGAGAGAGCACCTAGAAACACCTTTCGTAGGATTGGCTCATCTCGAAAATATAAAACTCTATAGGCCAAAGTGTAAGTGTATTCAGAAGAAATATTTAAATACTTATCTTGAAAAATTGCCTGAGCTGGTAGGAAGACAGTGACACGGAGAACGTCGAAGGAAGATTAAATGTGCTATGAAGTAAGTTTTGCTGAGATGTAAGTCTGTCAACGATACCTGTTATATCATACTAAAAGCTTATTCCATGTAATAATGTTCTTATATATTTCCCTTCAGACATTAATAATTTATGTTAAATGTATTCACTTATGTCATCAAACTTGACTGTTAAAGTAGAAAAAGTAAAAAGCAATGCTGTCACAATTTTTTTAGAAATTTGTAAAACTACAAAATAAGAAAATTTTCATAACATATGACCAAATTACAGAAAACAAAAAAATGTAATAATTCAGACTGAATATATATATTTATCAATAAGGTAATGAAATAACTCTGTCTTTACAGTATCATTCACTTTAATGACAAAACTACGAAACCGAAAACATCAATATTATAAACGAAATAATTTGTGCATTTGAACAATGATATTTTAAAGGTTACTGTTAGTCTTAGCTCTATCCTAGATTTAGTAATAGAAAAGGAGAAGTAACTGAGTTAGCATTAATAGTAAGGCAGTTTTAGCGTTTGAACAACAAACATGAAAATATGATTATTGTCAGTCTTACACCTAATATTGTCAGTCTTATCCCTAATATAATTTGAAAGATAGAACAATAGATATGAGTTAGTGTTACTTGTGAGGCAATTTTCAGCAGTGAATATATAAAGAAGATAGTGGCATTAGGGTATGATTTTGTACAATATACAATGGAGATATTGTTACTAGCCTTCTTTTAAGGCAATGAAACAACCAACATTTAACAATTAGAGTCACTGTTAAATCAGATAGATATATTTAGGAAGTTTTAGAGATGTGACAATGTTAAAAGTCGAATACAAGTCCTCATATCAGAACACGTTTGGCTGTCAAATAACGAATTGTACAAGTGATAATAGTATTAAATGTTCATTTTACAATAAGGGTACTTTTAAATAAAACACAAAGTAATAAAGATATAATAGTATTTATTACATATTTTGCACAGAAGCGATCTAGTTTGAAGATAAAAAGATTAGTAATGCAATATTTTTCCCTAGCGAAACCATGCTAAATTTTAAACTTTGTTAAATGACTTTTCGAAGCATCTTTTATCAGACTTTCAAAACATTTTCCCACAACTGGTGTAAGAGTATAGAAAGTATTATTACTCAGTTAATTACAAAGTTAACTTTCCTGCTTACTTAAATAAATTCCACTACTGAGAGACTACTTTCTTTGATTAATATAAATATGTTTATTAATATCATTATATTTCTTGCTATTTTGAGCAAAAGATATTAGCAGGCTTTATGTTTATTTCTTGCATATATTGATTCTGAAAGGTTGTAGCTCTAAAGCTCGGGTTTTGGTACACGAGATGGGCACAGCACAAATAGCTCATTGTGCAGCTTTGTGCTTAACTAGAAACAAATAATCAATATATTGATCTTTTTTTTTTTCGTTTTTTGACACGAGTACGAAACATTTGTTATCCACAAGTATGGAAACAAGTTGACGTTGGATTGGTCGGTATAAGCTCTTAAAGTTTCTAGCTTATCCAATTTTTTTCAGATACAAATGTTGTTGCATGAACAAACGTATTGTGCTCCTAGATCGTGAGGTAATTTTGTATTTAAGTATACATGTTTGTTTGGCTATTTCTTATTTCATATTATTTGTAAAGAATTTCCTGATCTAAAAATGCTATAATATTATTATTCCTTATTTTTTCTTCTTACGATAATTTATAGGTTTACTTTGTACACAAGGTGAATTTATTTCTCATTTTAGAGAAACACATTTACTATGTGTGCTTTATGATATCTTAAAGTGTATAGATTTTACTATAATATCATCAAACGTTAATTGTATGTTTCTTTCTTCTGTAATTATTTATTTTAATATTACTTTCACGAGTCTTGGGCTTTAATTTTAGTAATTGATAAAAGCGCATCTGTCTTAATCTTTCCCTGCTTAAATTTTAATGGTACTTTTAGGTGATCTTTCCAAAAACGACACAATAAAGTATAATCTTCTGCAAGAAATTATATAATTTGTTTATTATTTGAGATGATTTTTACACATAAAATAGTCGAAGTTTTCAGTTAAATAACGAACTTACCCAATAATTAAAGCATTTATGCTGATAACGATATTACACATTAGAAAATTCAAGTTTTAGTTCGAAAGTAATCAAAAGATAATTAAAGCATTTTTTATAAAATTTTTACTCAATAAATGATTTTTATTCTTGTCATACCTTTCTAAAATATATATATATATATTTGGTTTGTAGTTGGTTTCCAGCGTTATAAGTCTGAAAACTTGCTGCTGTGTCAGTGGAGGGGGGTGGGGCTTTTTGTTTTGAAGAATAATGTTACACAATAAGAAAATGAAAGTTTTGGATTTTTTACTGCAGAACCCTTTCCAATAAATAAATGATTTTTCAAGAACGTTGTTACATGGCAAGTATATAGCTTTTACGTTAAGCTTTTTATGAGTATAGAGCTCTTTTCTAGACGCTTATACATTTCTTAAAACGTGCAGTTCCCATCATACATCATATTTATAGTTGAAATATATTTGAACACGCATCTTACAATGGCATTGTGTGCAGTTTTTAAACTTTAATCTAATAATATTGATTTGTTTAGAACATCACTGCCCATTTGACATCACGGAAAGCACACAGCGAAGCAGGATCTTAATTTAATCTTTTTGATATTTATGTTGGAGAACATTCGTTGCCATGACAACAGTTACGTATAAGTCAGAACCTTTCACACAGCCATTTATTGCAATAAACAGCGACTGAATCGAAAAAGCACCCAATTCTCACGTACGATATTTTCTTATGTCATTACTATTACTTCTTGTTAAAATAAAATATCGAAATAATTGAACTAAATTAAGCAATTAGAGGGGCCCTGACAGTAGAGCGCATACCTCCGCCATGCAGCGTTGATCATATTCGTCCCTCAAAAAATGTGTCCGTATGTCCATCGATATCAACGGACATAGACCATGTTTGGCAGGAAAATCAAGAATAATATTCTATATAAGTCCACCAACTTTCATCAAAATCCGATAATTGTTGACCGAATTATAGAGCAAAAATAGTTGCATGTATAGGGTTTTTTTTATTTTAGTGACCTTGCTGTGACTTTGATCTTTGACTTTCCAAAAACTAATCACTTCTAAGTAGAGTCATAGTCCAAATTTATACCCACTTTTGTTCAAATCCACTCAGTCGTTATTGAGAAATATTGCTGACAAAGACATACACACACACAGGGGTAAAAACATAACCTCCATCACCTTCGATGGCGGAGGTGATAAGTTTGAATAATCCCTTTACTAGTAATATATTTACAAAGATCTTACATTGGTAAACAGACACCCCCTAAGATGGAAAGAGTGTCAGGTTATCATGACTTCTCACGGCCAAGTCAATCACCCGATACGAACCCCATTAAACACATGAAAGCGGAAGCTACTAAATAAATGCATTTCTGGGGCTCGCTAATACAGATTCTGTGTCAGGAATTGGCCTGAAACACCATAGACAAGGATTGCTGATTTCGTTCACACAATGTGTGCAAGAGGCTGCACCACAAAGTATTACCCCACTCGTATTTTGCCAGTGTTATATAGGGATATAAAATAAACTGGTGTTACTTCAAACTGCTTTTTTACTAAAAGGAAATACCTATATATATGGATTGCGAGTGTATTTTTGGATTCAATATTAGCCTAATGATTATTTATATTATATACGTTGCACAATTCTGAAAGGAAAATGAGATTTCAACCTCACAAGCTAACTTGTAATAATGACTGATTTCTTTCCGACAAATATAAACAATTTCATTTATTTATTGAATGTATTTTATAAGAAACTTTGACGTGTTGAAACTTATCCATAATTATTTAAGCAAGATCCCAAATATTCAGCATGATATGTTATCTTATCAGTAGATTTATTTACGTTGTAGAACAATAAGTTACAGAGAAGTTGGTTTTTTTTTCTTCTGATCTTTCTCTTTACAATCTTAGTTTACTTGAACTGACAGAAAAAATATTATTCATTTTTAACTTTTGTTACAAAAGAGTTCATTGTTTGTTTGAATATCAATTTTTTTATTTATAATTAAGTAAAATGTGAAAAGTACCTGAATAATTCTGTTCTTAGTAAAGTTTAGAAAACAAAATATACATGGCCACCAACTTTCAGATTTGAAGCCATACTTCTGTTTTAACAACTGTACGGAAACTCAATCTTCAGTTAATCAATGTCAGTCTAATCTAAGGCACAATTCTGTCAAGATTTTGGTGAATTCGATTTTTTGTGTTTGATTGAATGTAATTGTGGATAATTTTTAGTACTGTTTTCTTTTTATCGAAATGGAACTTGTATTGTAAGTGAGCCTCTTGTATAATTAATAGAGTCCGTAGAAATTACTGTTATGGTTTTTCTTTGTAGCGAACATTCTTTTGTAAAAGTAAAATTACAGAAACTTTTAAGTAGCTCAGGCATGGTGTAATTCAAAATACACTGTCTCTATCATTGACATCTGATTTTACAGAAAGTCACAAAAGTAAGCCAAATCTATAAATACATTTACTTAATTAACCACTGCATTGTGTCATATATTTTGTATTAATGTTTGGCAAAGCCACTGTCTACGTCCTCTTTTTTGTGTCATATTTAACTTAAAAGAAAAAATACTGCTCTCTAAGCATCAGTTGCCGAACTGTTAGGTCTCAGGTTACAATATAATTGTAAACAGCTGTCTAATTCTGCTTGAAAAACTATATATGTCAACAAATTATTATGAATTAGAAGATAGACTAGCAAATTACCATCCAGTATTTAAACTTGCTCTAACAAAATGAATTACAAAAAATTAGAACCGAATATTTTCTTTGATATCAAACAAAAATATTTTAGAATTGCGTCAAAGAATTTTAAAATGAAAGTAATCACGATAAAGCTTTTTACAATTCCTGGTATCAGGCGAAAGGCCTCGTCGGCACTGGATATGGCACATAGGAATTCGATTATATATCAGCATTAGAAAGACATTTATTTGTATATAGGAAAGCTTTGTTTGTTTGTTTTTTAAACAAAAAAGCTCCACAATAGGCTGTCTGTGTTCTACATACCGCGAGTATCGATACTCGATTTTCAGCCCTGTAAGCTCTCAATCTTACATTGAGCCACTGTGTGTGTGTGTGTGGAGGGGGGGCTATATGTAAGTATTTTGTTTAATTAAATAAAAAAACTCTACAATGAAGCAAAATAAAAAGTAATGTAAAAGATGGTCGATTATATTCTGTAAACTTTGCAAAATTTTATTTAATTATAACCAATAGGCGTCCTATATTTACAAATAAATAAATTGTTAACTTTGCTTGGTTTTAACATTTTCTTGTTGCTTTTATCTTGCAATCTAATATGCTATATTCTTTCCAAAATAAAAATTTAATTTAACTAAAAGACGTGACAAAACATTTCGACGCTTTTGAAATCTCATAAAGTGTTTTAATTCTAAACTTCTGCTTTTTAGACAGAAATTAAAACGTTCTATTATTTAGTACAAGTAAGATAAAATCAACTTAGAACAACAGAATAGCAATTCTACTCAATCGACGCCATCAGATTCTAGTTTCCATCAACTGAATTTTATTTATTTTGTTAATTAAATATTACTTTCAAAGATATAAACCTTTAAAAGTATAAAACATCAGAAAATCATATATATATAATTACTTTTAGAAAGACAATACAAAGCTAAACAGATATGTAAATAATGTATAATCTGTATCATTTACCACTCTGCTGCGTAGTTTTCAAAGAAATGCCGTTTTAGTTGACTAAACTATACATATTTATTTCATTTTTGAAACTAGTTATGCTGACACTATCAAAAAGTGAAATGTTACAAAATTGAGAAATTTTCTGTAACTTAAGAAAAGTAAAAAAGCAATCAAAATCTTGCAAGTAAAAAATATAACAAATTATGTTGTTGAGTTATTTGTTGATTTCTTTTTTTTTCACCAAAACGAGACTTTTTGCGCTTATGTAATTCCATAATTACATTAAAATTATTCAGAATGACAAACAACTGTTGTTTTATATCAATAGAAATATTATTAATGGCGTAAAGGAGTTAAAAAATTTATATTCCATTCAGTTGGACTCTTAAGAGATGTAAAAGTTAATAAAAAAGCCGTTTGAAATGTCAATTGTCAACTGCCTTCAGAAAAGTTTTTTATCTCAAGATTCTAATCATACTTTATGTAAATTAGATTATAGTTTCTGTAAAACATCAGTTGCAAACTCTATAGAATACGAATTATGAGTCAGTGACAAATTAAAGTTTACAAACAATGGTAAGAGGTTTATATCTCACCTTGTTTTAAATATTCTTTATAGATTCGTTTCTCCTTCCCTATTTTATTCAAACGAAAATGAGCGACGAATCAACACAGGAGTCTCAAAAACCAAACGGGTCTCCCAATCCACCTTTCAAAGGATCTGGTAAAACCCAGCAGAAATCTCTTTGCAGAATAATACTTATCAGAGCATGGATGGTGACTGCAATATTTTTATTTGCTACAGGAATGATCTTACTTATTTTCGGAGCAATTTACTGGAAGAAAAACATAGGTATGTTTCTAGGAGGCGCTCTATGTCTAGTTTTAGCAGTGCCTGTCACGGCATTTTATCTCTGGTGTACTCATTGTTATGGTGATAGTCAAAAAATTCCACAACACATAGAAAGCAGGCAGCCATCAATCGAAAAGGAAGTATCAACTGTTGGATCTCCTGGTCTATACAAACAGAACTTCACAGAGCCAAAGACTGATGTCCCTGTGGAACCGCTTGTTACCATGACGCCCATCATGTCATCTCCAAAATCTGGTGAAAATGAACAACGTTTGAGAGATGCTAGCACTTCACGTGAGCCAGGAAGCAATAAAAGTAGTGTTACATCAACTCCTGACATTCTAAGTCGAAGGTGAGTTCGAGAGGATCTTCTTTTATAATTACACGGTAAAACATAAAATTAAGTATTCCATCATGATTCAGAAATCGTCTCCAACCATAAATACAATTCCCTCTTCTCTTTATATTCCCTTTCAGAGCTCAGGCCAGGTATTAAACCACAACCAAAAACAAAACAAAAAACAAATACACCATTTTCTCACTCATCCTATGTTCTGTCAAGTGTCTGGTAAAGCTTTCAAAACGAAACTTCATTTCATTCCTAAATCAAGCCTCTCCCCATCATGACTCGCGTCAGATCTTTAACATTGTGGCTAACATAAGGTTTTCAAAATCCATCCTCACTTGTACCCTCCTTATCCTTCGTCATGACTAAAGTGAGATCTTCAATACCAACCTTTATTTCATCCCTCCTTTTTTATCCTTCGTCATGATTAATGTACATCCGACATCATTTTCTCTTTCTTTCCATCTCTCCCATCAATATCAAAATAATGGCTTATTAATTTTTCTATAAGACCAAAAACAACACAAAAACAATTGAAATGGATCTTTTGAAAGTTAGTTTAACCAGTTCATGGCAGCTATATAACATAGTCACAGAAGAATTGTCTATTTTTTTATATCCTGGTTCAAAACTACACTTTCAAATCTGCAGTAAAATAATCACGGCGTGATAAAAAAGGCAAGACTTACACTATTCCTATAAAGAAATGAGAGCTTGATCTATCTATATGTGACTGTAACTGCTGTTCACTTACTTTAAATTATTTATTTACCATTTTAATCTTCTGATACTACTAAAGTTTTATAATATTATTTGTAATGCATCTTGTTTCATAACCGAAGCTGTAATAAACACAAAAATCATATAATGTAAATGACATTAGTATTTTATGTAGTCTACATGTAGTTACGAAAATATTTTCTTACTGTTGTACAACTTTATATTTTTCCTGAAAATTTGTATAAACTTTATTTAATTTTTTACCATTATTTTATTCAACCATCATTTTTAGCGTAATTTGTTTTATGTTAAAAATGTATAATTTAAGCTACATTCAAGCTTTTGCTTAACAAACGAAAAAAAAGAAAGTCAAATACAACATATGATAATGCTCTTATTCTTATTTTGTCAATATATTTACATTTCGACAATACATGATATCACCTTATTCATATGAAATATGAAAAGAAAACAGTTCGATATTATTCGAGTTTTATAACTGTTTGCACCTCAAATATTGAATTGAAATGTAACTTTGAAATATCAATATTTTAACGTTAGTTACATAACTATGTAACACACAGCTATCTTCAAACTTTAGGTGCAACTTGTTCTAATGCTAGCTTTTATTTTATTGATTTAGAGGTAAATTTTCACACAACGGTCAAAGTAGTACAGTTTTAGTTAAGATCTGTCAGATAATTTCAGGATTTTCCATGAAAATTTCAAACGTATGCTCCAAACATCTACAATAATTAACCACAAGGCATTTGTAGAAGTTCTTAATTATTATAGAATGTTGTCATAAACGGAAAATTGTGTAAAATAAAATTCTTACTTGTTTTAAAGAAATGATGTTATACTGATCTGTTTAGTCGAACTGCATGACTATTGTTTTTCTTCAGCCCCCCACTGGTATAGCAGGATGTCTACAGACTTACAACTCTTGAAATCGGGTTTCGATACCCATGGTGGGAAGAGAATAGATAGCCTACTATGTAGCTTTGTGCTTAACTTCAAACAAACGTTTTCGTTTAATATCGTATATTGTATCTATATTACATCACGTTTTCACTTTTTTGGCTTGATGCAAAAGAAGATTTGCTTTACTTTAAATAAGATAAAAGAAATAGGATATCAAGTGTGGTATAAATAAAATGGTCAGATTTAAGGGCTAATAAATTCAACAGTAATATATGTAAATATTTAAAATTAATCTACACACAAGTAAGATGTTCTGACCTCTGTGAGTTTTACGCGAAAATACATGACTTGACTCGTATTGGCTATTACATAAACATCGACGCAATTTCTTTACTTTGTAGGACTAAGAATTACAGCTGTAATTTCTAACTCATTTAATACGTACATTTTTTTAGTTCCTCGAAATGTAAATTTCTAGTTTATTCAAACCATTAAATATTTTAAAATTATAGGTTATTTCCTGAAAAAACAAACAGTTTTAATAAATCTAATTTTAACAGTGTTTTAGTTGGAGTTAAGCCTAGATTTTGAAATAACCAAATCAGCAGTTAAGAAAGAAATGAATGTTTCTTAGATACGTCTTGCATTTTGTGTGATTTGATGACCAGACTGGATACAGTTGTGTTTATGGGCTAGAGATTCTGAGCTAAAGGTTCGTTGTCCCGACCATTAGTTTAGTTTGTCCTTCAGTAGTATTTGTTAATGGTTTCCGCTGTTATTTTTCAGAGCTTAAACACATATGTCCCCAAAGACTTATGACACATTTAACAAATGTCGTATGTATTATAATTTAGCCTGCTCTCCTGCCACTAGAAGTATGTCGTAACGACAAATATGAAGAGCGAGTTTCTTAATTTTGTATGATTTCAAATTATGACATTAGTGTCTTCTGGAAATTGAAAACATTTTCGGTAAAATACGTCAAAGGTTAAAGTCGAAAATTACTTAATTAAATAATGGATTTAAATTAATATTGTGCAGGAAGTGATTAATAATGAATCCATTAAACTTGACACGTCGATTATCATGAAACAGAATACATATAGCTAAGGGCATTATAAACTGTAAGATTTTGAAATATTGAATCCTCAATCATTAATTGCAATAAGTGATTTTATTTGATTTGGTCGCCATTTGTTGTCAGTTTGTTTACATTATAACAAATGAACACCTAAAGTGGACCACAGAAACATGACCCAGACTTAAGTTTTTGTGTACCAAAATACCTCAGCCATAGAAATTCTCTATGCATTTATTTAATTTATTCTGTGTTTATTCTTTCTTCTAAAATCAAAGCTATTATGTTTCCTCTAGATCAATAGTTTTACTGAAGCTCAGCTCATGGCTTAAGGATGCTTGAAAACAACAGGAGTTTAGTTTCTTTCGTTAAATAATGCACTTGATCGATCCGGGTCTTTTTTTTTGTTGTTGTTGTTCTCTAAACCAAAGAATAAAAGGGTTGAATATAGATAAATTGCTAAATTCATATTTGAAATATCTAAAAAATGCATAAGTGATCATGTTTGCTTGAACAAGTAATTATCGTCTATACGTTTGTTCAAATACTAAGTATATACATTCTATTTTTCAGCCTTAAAAGTCTCATATTGCAGATTAATTTCAATACTCAGATAATAGAAGTCAACACCGTAAAACGCAACCCAGTAGCTAACAGTACCGTTTCCTGCATACCATTGTAAGTGACGTATAAAAGAAAACAATTTTTACGTTTTGAATTTCATTTTAGTTCCTCAATAGAGCTGGCAGGCCAGCATGGGGTTACACCCTATCTTTGGCCATGAGATTCAACATGTAATAGAATAGAGATGTGTATAAAGTGTTGGTTAAGATATTCGTGCCAAAAATTATATACTGACTGATAGATAATACCCAAGTTAGAAAATAAAAACAGTGTTATACAGTATTCGGTGGGCTACGTAGTCAGTTCTAATATACTGTTGAATTATTGTGCTGGATAAATATAGCAAGGTAACTCAGTCACTTGTGTTCCATTGTGATCAGGGTTTTTTTATAGGAAGAAACAACAAGTGCATATTTATAAGTTGATCAAGTAGATGAAGTAGCTTTTTGGAGGATAAACTTCTGCTGGGAAAGTCGGTAATAATAACTTTTTATCATATTATTAAACAGCTGAAGAAATTGAAATCTAAAGAAAAAGTGAGGCATCATTTAGTGATGAATTATATGTTATACGCACGACCTTTCGAGAGGATTTAACTTATCACTTTGTTCACAAATGTTGAATCGAACTATATAGAACTTCATATTTGTTTTTAGTATTTTAAACAAATTTTCTGCTGATCAATTGACAAGAATGATTTAGAAGCATCATATTTGTAAATTCCATATAAATACAGGTTGACTTTGAAGAATAAAAAACACCTTTCTTATAAAGTTAATTACTCTGGCACATGCGGGTAGTTTTACAACCTACTACATGAAGTATTAGTGATGAGAATATTGTTACAAGATTAAAACGTGTAGGCACATGGTTCATAGTTAAGATACATAGCAGACAATGTCTTGTGACTGGGCACTATTTTGTCATCTGATGTTGAAAAATAGTTACCTCATAACCTGGCAAATAGAATGCTAAAATCATGTCTGATCACCTGATGATTTTACAAAACTTTTCGTGTGGGAACGAATTTTTAATTTAAACTTGGCCTTGTCTAACGCAGTATCTATACTAAGTGCAACAAATGGTTGCACTTAGTTATTTTAAACATTTAACCACCATATACTTCAATTATTGTAGGGATTCGATCCTGGATGTTCTTTACAGAAATGCTAGTGTATTATTATTCATTACTGATCAAACTTTTGTGTACAGTAATTCTTAGTGGTCACTTTATTAAAACTTCTACATAAATTTACAAAACACTCTAAAAATTTGCATATATATATGAAATGGACTTACGATGTGATAAGTTAGGTAACTGCTGAAACGCTTTAAATACAGAGATGCCAAATGCAACAAATCATTGCATTTTACAAATGTGTTTACGTTTGTTATTTTAAACATTTAACCAATAGGTGTTACTGCAGCACGCATTTTCGATAGAAAAAAATGGATTCACACGAGTTACTTTGTTTTCTGTTTAATTTGTTTTAGCATCTTAAGGTTAATTCTGTCTAAAAATAACATCTGAAATAAATTTTAAAGAATTTAAATAAATTTTACTTAGAATTCTGAACAAAGAGTTTGAAATGATCTATACTTTTAAAATAAATATTTGGTGTTTGAAGTTACGGTTTGAATGCTGATAGCTGGCGAAGCA